AAACCATTATACCCTGATTTCCCATTTTCAATGGGTTCAGGGTATAAAAATATTAATGTATCAAAAACATAAATAAAAGTGCTAGATTAAATTAAATAATCAATTATTAAAATACTATTCATATAAATGTCCATCTCAAACTAAAGAAAATAATTTATTAAAAAATCGGAAATATAGAATATTAAAATGTGAATAAATATTTTTTAAATATACTAAAAAAATGTAATCCTATTTTCAAATACGTATGCGTATTAAAAAATGTTCTTTATTATATAAAATTTAATAGCAAATAATTTTAAATATATCATTTAGCTTTCTTCAACGTATGGAAATGCAGAGAATTTTTTAAGCTTTTTCATTATAAATAATTTTCAAATTAATTTGTTAGTATTTTTAATAATGATAAATATATATTGCTAATATTATTATTAATCCTAGCAATAAAGTCCACTTTTAGAAATAAAATTTAAATCTCTTCAAAAGTAAAATCGTCATTATAAATAAGCCCATAGCTCCATAACACCACCGATTTGACTTCCGCTGCATTTAAAGTCAAGTAAAATCAGGTTAATATCTCGTCAGGCAGTTAAAAAACCCGCAGAGCGACTAAACGTGTGAGTTTTCTGAGCTGGCTGAAATTTTAAGAGGCTTTCAATTTAATGGGCCAATGCGATGTGTTAAGAACAAGCAACAGCCAGACCAGGTGATATAAATTGCAGAATATCCGAAATGCATGCAAAAGGCAGCGAGAGATTTCTGCAATGCATTACATATACAATGATGAATGTATGTAAATTAGTATGTCTGTGTGTGTGCGAGTGTGTGTGTGTGTGTGTGTGCGTGTGTGTGTGTAATGAGACAGCGATGAGTCGAGTTTATTTATTGGTCGATGTCTTATGACAATATCCTTTGTGCGTTTCTGTTTTCCACCAGGTGTCGACGACTGCATGCGTCAATTACTTAATTTAATGGTTTATATATGCACTTAAACACATACAAATACACACAATCTACTGCAACGCCCGCTGTGTGGGCCATTAAAAAAAAAATAAATAAATAAATGCTTGACTTCATGTCAAGTTGGGAAAAGTCTCTGGACCTGACAATACGAATTCGAATAAACTTATTTAGGATATAAATATTCCTTGGAGACTAACTAAGAGACAATGCTAACAGAAAAAGTCAGTGAGTGATGGGATGAGTTTTAATAATTCTAAAATGTTTAATTAAAATTTGAAAATTTCTATCTACCTATCTTAATATGATAGACATAATTTTTGTAATTTTTTGTTCAATTTGATTTGATTTTTAAAATCTTCATTTTTATGAAAATATATGTATTGTATTTTATCTGCATGATAAAAGAAGTAATCAATTTTCGTTTTATTATTTTATTTTTTATGCATTATTTATTTATTTTATTTAAAAAAATAAAGTAAATGATAATAAAAAATTAATAATAATATTTGTTTTAATATTTGTTTATAACCAGTTATCCATTTTTTTTATTTTATTATTATTTTTTTTATATATCGATAAAATTTATAAATAATATATTAAATATTTGTTTTCAAAATTGTGCAACAGGTTGCATTGGACGCTATCACATGGGAATCCAATCAGATAAAGACTTTCAGCCAATTGGAACAGATCAAATGACTATATATTTTCTATTTATGTATATATAAATACGATATAAATGTATTTTTTACTCACCTGGTAAACAGAAATTAATGAATGCAAGTCCAAGTTTGAATTGCAGTTTGCTTGAGCTACTTCAACAGGAACAACAAAAACAATAACTGTCCACTTGTTGCTAACTGTTCACTGAGCAATTGCGCGTGTGTTGGATTCACATAGATTTTGTTTATGTCGCCTGCTCACACAGCCAACAACAACAACAAACAAAACGCAGGTGTCGACTTTTTCTTTGTTGTTATTGTTGGTGTCGTAGTTAAATTATGACAGCGCGACGGAGACGCAGAATACGAATAAAACAAACACGCACACACGCACATATACATACATACATGAACTCACACACAATACACTTTCAATTACGCACTATACGCAATGTAAAATGTCTTCAGCTTCTTGGCACTGCACCTGGAATTTGTTTATGAAATTCAATTGTTATTGTTGTTGTTTTCGCAACAAAAACAAACAGCTGCATACTCTTGTCGTTTTAGCGGTATGGTGAGTATGCGCAGCCCGCAGCAAATTCACACATTTCACATTTAACAGCATTTGCGCAATTATTCGGAGGCGATGTGAATATTAAATACGTCATTCAAGGAAACACACATTTAAAAATCTTAAATTAAATGTTAAACAGCAGCGCACAAACAAAATAACAATATTAAAATGTGCAGCGTTTAATAGCACTAGTTGAGCATTTGCTCACCAAGCACTGCGTGCGTTCACAACTGTTGCGCACAGCTGTGCAGCGCTACGTAACAGTTGAGTAGATACCGATAGTTGTATTTATGTGCCATTGACAGGGACTGCTGAAAATATAAAATAAATGTCAAAGTGTTACAATTTTGTGCTAAGCAAATAATTAACTTGCATAACTTTGCAGTGTTTTGTTTTTTTTTTAAGTCATATATATATATATATTAATAATTTTACCATTTGCTCACGATATTCGCTCAGCTGTTTGTTTGGCTTTTAGCATTAGCAAACACTGAATTTCGTTGCCTTTTGCGGCTTTTATTTGCCTGGACAACTGGATAGAAATTGCTGGCCCCCATTGCTGCATTTAAGATGAGCGAATTTCAGACGTGGCTCAACGATCAGCTCCGTCAGCTTAATACAGATGAGAGCGTCTTTGGTGCATACATCATTGGCATTCTCGAGGGCGAGGAGGAGACACAAGATGAGAAAATCGAGGCACTCGAAGGGATACTCAGCGGCACAGAGGTCAGTGGAATTTAACAGAAAATATTCGATTTATATTGCACCTCTCCTGTAACAGGCCTCCAACATAGAGGAATTGGTGGCCAGCATCTTGCAGAAATGGTTACAGAGCCATCCCAGCGCCGATGAGCCGCCCAAGAAGGGCCTGGACATCGACGTCAATGCACAGCTAGCCAAATTGCTCGAGCAGCAGAAGCTCCAACCCGCCGTCAAAGAGCGCGAATATACCGAAGAGGAACTGCGCATTAAGCAGCAAATACTAGCGCAATACTCACAGGTTTTTTTTTTATTAATATTCCTTTTATTTCAGTTCACCCAACTGATTTATGTTCATCTGCTGTGCTTTTAGACTGCTGTCAGCGAGGAGGAGGACGAGAACACAGATGGCGAATGCGGTGAGCCCAGCGGGGCCAGTGTCGTGGCGCCCAACACCAACAAGTCGGATGTGGCCAATCTGGCCAAGGAGAAGCGTGAGCAGGCGCGTCTGGAGAGTGCGGCCAAGAAGCAAAAGGACAAAGAAGATCGCGAAAAGCAAAAGCAGCTGCGCGAAGAAAAGAAAGAGAAACGCAAAACCGTCAAGGGTGAACGACGCCGGTAACCGGCCCCCCCTCAACCAAAAACCGAAATCAAAGAAAACAAAATCCGTCTGCCAAACCCTAAGCCTCAGCTCCCAGCTCCCACAGCACAGATCTGTGCAGAAATTTACATAGTCTCTCGAAAGACATTACGAAACGAAAACCAAGAGAGAAAACTCCATGAATACAGTCAGAATAATAACTAAACATATATATAGATATATTATATATATAATTTGCATTGCAAATCGAATTGTAATTAATAATGTCAATGTATTTTGTTGCGCATTGCGTTGATATTTCAAATTGTTTTTACTAAATTAAATTTAAAGTCGTTTTCACAATGACGTACAATTTTTTAATTCGTTTTCTAACGCTAACTTGGCTTTCTAATTAACTTCTAGGAATTATGTATAGAACTCATTTGGTTTTCCCTTTGTAAATATATCATTAATAGTTTCGTTTTGCTTATCATTTATCCTTCGTCTTCATCGTCATCCTCATCATCTTCATTGACCTCCTCCTCGTCATCATCATCATCATCATCATCATCGTCGTCGTCGTCGTCGTCGTCGTCTTCCTCCTCCTCCACATCGTGCTCATCCTCGTTCTGCGGCTTGGCTGCTCCTGCTGGCTCCTGATCAGCGGTGCTCTCATTATTATCATTCTCATCGTTAGCCTCGCTTGGATTCGGTTCATTTGCTGCCGCTGCCGCCGCCTGCGCCTCTGCCTCCGCCTGCAGCTCTGTGGATAGTTTCTTGATAGCCTCTAGATCAGCCAATTGAATGCGTCTATTGTTAGGATCCAAGCAATTGACTTTGACATCTATGAAATCACCAATATGCTGCTCATCCCAGCTTGAATACTAAGAGGAATAGTGATGATTAAATTTGAGGAATTTATAATAAAATAGAATATGCAATAGATATAGATGTATATTGTAGATAAAATATTTTTATATTATTTACGTATTTTGTTGAATTTATATTTTATTATTTTGACAAAATGATTTATTTCAAAGTGTGCTTAACATAAATAGCTGTACTGTTTTTTTTTTTTTTCTTTAAATTTATATTTATGTAAGCAGTTATTTTTAATAATAATTAAAATTATTCGAATGCGTTGTGTCATACCGCCACCTATGGGCCAGTAGGGTAAGTAGTTTGCGCACGTTAACGTGATTATAAACACGTCAGCCTGAAAATATGCAACACACATTGCATTCCAGTGTGCTTCCAATGGAACATCAACGGCAGATCGTAATATAGTGATCGCAATTGAAATTTTTACTCTCTACCCTAGCAAACGTATCAGATTCATATTATTTATGCAAGTAGATCAAGTAAAAATTGTTATTATATGACAATATCAATTGGAATCCTATATCTGAAGGGGTTTTCTTTTTATTTTGACTAGCAAGATATTGAAGTTAGCAGAATTTTATAACTAACATGAAGAATATGTAGAGATTTTTTTTTTGACAATTGATAAGTTAATGGGATTTGATACGATATCAACAAAATTAAATATGCATCAGTATTTATATTATTTTATATAACTAGAAAGTCCCTAAGTTATTTTGAGTTTTTTAATTCATAGCATTTTTGTACAGCCGTTCATAGCTTCAATGAAATATTAATAAATAGTTAAAAGGGTCGAAATTGTTTTTTTTTTTGTCTATTGTTACATACTTTGGCACATAATCATCATACCCTCTCATAACCAATTTAAATTATGCACAGGGAATGAATAAGCAGCGACGCCGGCAGATCGCAGCAGCTTCTGCTCAGCCTCCAAACAGAGCGCAAAGAAGAGAGCACGATAATTGTTGGGCAGCAACGGTACTTATGCCTTTTGACTTTGTTGTTCGTGTGTTTTATTCTACTATTCTAAGTATAGAGTTAACTTTGATTAAAATCTCTTACCACAGAGCTGGAAGTGAAGAGCAGCTGCTGCTCCTCCGGCGGCTTGGCAGCGTCCTCAGTCGTTTTGACGCGCAAATATTTCTGCAAGAGATTCGTTTGCTCATCCCTGCGCCAGAGACAGAGCCGACTATTGCGCAGCCAATTCGCGTCCAACAGATCCCGTTTGTTGAGCAACAAATCCAATTGGGCCAATTTGACGAATTGCTTCTTGGGCGGCAGACTTTGTGCACGCTTTGCCGTCGAAGTGCTCGCCGCGGCAACATTCTCGAATTCACCCTCACTGGGCTCCGATTCCAGGTGGTTGTAATCCTCCTCATCGTCCAGAGACTCGAAATCTTCGTCGCTTACCTTGGGCACAATCGTACGCCGCTTGCTCTTCGCTGCCGTCGCTGTTGCCGTTGCAGTTGCCTTGCGTTTGCGTCCAGCGCTGCCAGCGTCGCTGCCGCCAGCGCCAACACCGCCGCTGCCATTGGCGCGTGTCGGTGGCTTCTGTTGGCGTTGCTTCTTGTTGGGCCGCCAATCCTCCTCGGAATCGTCGTCGTCCGGACTGTAGTCCTCCTCATCGGAATCCAGATCGAATGTGGTGGTCACCAGCTCCGTGCGACTACGCATTTTCCAACTGATTTAACGGCCCAAAATTAAATTCTCTATTCGTATTATTATTTAATTTTCTTTTTGTTGTCCTTAGCGCTGCGCTGCGTCTCAAAGCAAACTGAAAATTTGCTGTTGCTGTTGTTGTTGTTTTTGCCTTTGCTGCGACTCCCACATGAATTCGTTTGGGAGAAAATTGCAATACATCTTCTCTGCAGCAGCGTTAACCGTTTTTGGGGGTTGTTTCTCTCTATGGCCTGTCGCTCGCTCACTTTCTCTCTCTCCCGCTCTCTCAGCTTCATGTGAAAAGCTTTTTTGTACCTGAAAGCACTGATGCCATTTTAGACTTTTTCCCGCCAGATTTAGCTTTCTTAAAAGTTCTATTGCAGGAAGAATTTGAAAATAGCGTGAAGCGGGAAATTTAGCTCTTTAAGTTTTTTTTTTTTTATTGTTTCTTTGCAATGCACATTTATTAAATATATTACGGAAAAA